TCTCGAAATATAATTGGCTAGTGCCATAAAAAAGTCACATGACCGGAAAATTTTTTGTGGGTGAGCTACTAACGTCAGTGTCTAGACCCCTGGCGGGGCTGTAAAACGTGCCTGTGCGTGCCACACAATCTGTGCCACTTCGTACATTCCCGAAATCAACCCGTACCACAACACGTACCATTTTTCTTATAGGGCATTGAATACGAATATCTTATTAGGATCGGAAAAAAAGATGTTTAAACGGTGAGAAAGGTTGAGTATCTTTCAGAATTTTTCAAAATCTTTCATAAAAAGTGGAGCCCTAATTTCCCCACCAATTGTGATTGGCCGTTTGAAATAGAGGTTGGAACCGTTCATCGTAATCGAATTTATAACTGGTTTTAACCGGTTATAACTTATAACCGGGTTGAGAATTTTTTAAATCAATCAACCAACCAGTTTTATTATAACCGAATTTATCTGATTAATCAGTTTTATTATAGCCGAATTTATCCGATTAATCGGTTTTATTTAACCGAATCTTATCCGATTAATCAGTTTTATTATATCCAAATAATCGGTTTTGTTATAACCGAATTTGTCTGATTAATCAGTTTTATTGCATCCAAATAATATATAGTTATTGGCTGCTTCGCATCCAATAACTATATATTATTTGGCAGGCGAAATGATTATCTCGTGATCCGCAGGATCACGGGATGATCGTCACGGAAAGTAATTTTAAGGCCCAGCCTTTAAATTGATTAAATTCCGATTCAAAATACGGCAGTTATTGGTGCTTCGTATCTAATAACGGTATTATCCGTTAGATGACGATGATCGGGCTTATGTCATTTAATTTAACTATGTTGATTTTTAATAAAAAAAGGTTAAATTTATCATAAAAGAGTAAATTCGATAGATCTCTTATTTTTTTTTACAAAAAAAAAAAATGCCAAAAACGAAAGCAGCATCTAAACTAGAGGTGCAAATGCAAGTTTTTTTTTGGCCTTGCTTCACATAGTGTAACATTATGTCGCATGATGCATTATGCAATTCTGTACAATATTCTCAAACCCGATATATATAGTAAACAGACTTGTACTATTATTAAGAGGTTATCAGATTTGAATATAATAAGCTATTAGATTTATATAATGGAACAGACCTTATAGATTAATTTATTATTGGATTTCATCATTTTTGAAAAGTTAAACAGTACTGTTGAATCACTGAAAATTGATACGCATGGTGAACAGATTTTGTATTGTTATTGAGTGGTTATCAGATATTAAACTAAACATAAACTATAGCAGAATCAGACTTGGTGGATTAATCTTTTATTAGATTTAAGATTCAAAGAAGTTAAAGATGTATTTTTTGCAAAGTGCTTTCGCTAATTCTTTTGGTCCGTTGAATCCAAGTCTCAGGTATTTAATGGTCAAATATGCTAGAGCAGTTGATTTTTGATGACAACTATAAATGGAACACCCGATAACTGTCATAATATGATTAGACATGACTTTTACATGTTATTTCACCAAATTAAAAAGAAAATAAAACAAAATAATTAAAGGTGATATCAGTTAAAAGCTTTATGCAAGTGTCTGGTCAGTAATAGTTAATTATATATTACTGTATTATGATTTATGTAAGTTATGCTAGCAAAATAATATAATCAAAATTTAAGAGATAATAAAAAAACGAAGTGTTCATTTAACGATGATATAAATTTACGGGGAACAAAATACATAAACTTTACAATTGTTTAGAGAAAAACTATATACTGTAGTACAGTATATTTTAAATTTTACAATGCAGAATTGCTTATTTTAAATACATCATTACGCTTTTCAGATTAATGTTAAAATAAACTTTATATTGGATAAAAATATAACTCATATTAATTACCAAATTATATATTTAATATATTTAAATATGAGCAAAAATATTGTAAAGTTCGAAAATAGTTTTTAATATTAAACCAGATATTACAAAATGACTGTTAAATATTGAATAGATCCGTATTACAAAGCAGACGGATTAACAAATATTGTTATAATATAAAAAATTGATATAATAAAATAAAAATGCGTACAATACTAGACAATATAAAAATGCAATGGGAATAAGAGAATTAATTTAAAAACAAGATATACTTTAGAATTACGAGCCTTCACTTCGCGATACTCATATATGTCATTAATCATCAAAATTACCCATTATCATGAATGTCTTCCATTAGGGATAACTCTTTATGACTTGTGATTTCAAACAATACTACTGGTTGTCAACCTGTTACATACACATGTACGTACGTACGTGAGTAAATGTTGATAATATGTAATATGAGAACAAATGACAATGTCAGAACGATATAAAGCTAAAATTTTATTAAATAGATGATTTGCAACAGCAGTAGACTCTACACTATATTTCGCAATTAACGAACAAATTTAACAAATAATAGACTTAATACATATTTTTACATTAAATTACTATTCAATTCAATAAATTCATTGCAGTATTTAACAAGCAAATCAGCATTATGTGTGTCAGCATATTCAAGAAGATCGTCTGCATTAAACCGTTCAACACAGCCATCGCTGATAATTTTCTCTATCGCTTCCTTTTTCAAGTCAGCTATTTCATAATAATCCGATGCTTTTAAAAAATCTTTTAGAATAGTTAATTGTCTTTCTTTTTCTTTAACAATCTCCTTGTCTATCCTATTGTAATAATCATCGTAATCATCTTCATTTCTATTATTATTAAGGCTATCTGAATTACCTTTTGTAAGATTAATAGCCGTATCAAGTGGCATACCATATAGATATCTTAACAGAACTTTAAATGATTCAGGATTAATGTCACACGCAAGAATTCTTGCTTCTTTATATGGGTCTCCATCTCTATAATCACTTGAAAATGTAATTTTGAAGTGGTTTGAAGCTGCTGCAAGTACATATCTATTTGCACGAATTTCACCATATTCATTAGTAAAATTATTCCACTTTTCTTGCAATTCCGGACTAAAATTATCAAAGTCTACAGAAAATATCACATCATTAAGAATACAGGATTCATCTTCTAATAATTGTTGAAGTGACTTTACAAGATTTTCTGCCTTTGAATTTTTATCTTCATTTTTTTGTTTAACTTGAATATAGTCATAAATGTTAGGCCTCCTTATTTTGCTAGCCCCCGCAGTTTTTAATAACATTTCGTATTTTGCAAGACTAGGTTTGACAAAACTTTGATCCAATCGGCTAGCGCCAATAATTAGTTTGTCTGCCGATACCCAATTTAATTCTTCAAGGATATTTTCATTAGAATATATGTTTAAAAAAATTGTTTCACCTTCATAGAAATCCGACTCCGTAAGATTATTTTCTTTACATTCTTCATTAAGTGTAGTATAGATATCATCAACAATTCTTCTTAAAAGTCGTTCTTCAAACACCCATTGATCAGATTTTATTATTTCCGAGGTAACTTCACGTAAATGATCAAGAACCTTGGTGGCACTTGGTTTTCCAAAATTCTTAAACTTTGTGAATATTGAGGAAGTAGGACTTGGAACTACATTATTATGAAATATTGCCATTTGCGTAAAGGCTTAAAAGAAATTACAATAAATGACAAATAAATATAAAAGCATTAAAAAATTGTTAAATATGTAATTTATAACAATGATTTTAATTAAATTACTGTATTTACCTATTGTTTTATACTTAGGCAAACACAACGAACCAAAGCATTCGAATTTTCTTGGGATCTTTGCATTTGATGAATAAGGAGATTCAATAGACATTTCAGTTGGAACGAACGATGTAGATGTCAATTCACCATTCCATTCTACATCAGAAAATCCAAGTTCATCTATGTTATCGTAAAGATAATTGATTATAGTTGTAGCACGATATATTAAATTGTTCGGAGGTCTTCGATCGTATGTATACTTTGCAATTGTTCTCGCACATTCGAGAAACGTTTGCTGGTTTATTTCATATTTAAATCCTATAGTTTTAATTATTTCAAAACAATAACTATCATTTTGAATGTCATCGTGAAGAAATAGATCGGAGTCTTCTAAAGTGATTTGAAATAATTGAATTCTATAATCATAAAGATTTCTTGCATTTCTGAGTTTCTTCGTTTTTCTGTTTGGAAAAATATCTTTATCTTTGATCCAACTTACAATTTGATTGAATTCTTTCGATTTTAAAACACTTTTGATGAATTTAATATGATTTTCGTTATTTTCTCTTGGGATCACATAATATTTTTGTAAATAATTAGTAAGGTTTATGTAAGGAGTATCCAATGCTTTTAGTATCTTTTTAAAAGATTCATTTCTAGCGTTAAGGAATAACTTATTCGGATGATTTTTTGAATTTATTTCAATATCATCTGGTGGAAGGAATCCATTAACTGGACTCGCAAATTGTTGTCCGCATAAAGTAGGCCAAACTGGTAACTTACTTAGAATGCCTTTAAATTCATCTTTAACTGTAAAGAAAATTGATCGTCAATTAATTGAACGAAATTCACCCGAAATATTATCATTATATTTACCTAATGTTCCATTGTTTAAACTAAAATTATTCCAATTCTCAACAATAAACTTTCTTACAACCTTAGCCTTAAATTTATTATTTAAAAAATCAAAGTTTTTTCCATTTTGATCTGCAATACAGAATGATTTTAAAACGGCTTCTGGTGTCCATTTATAAATATAGTCACTTAGTTTTTCATCCCAAGAACGATCAGTAAATCTAATTTCTAAAGTTTCAAGTATATTAACTAAATCTTCATAATGCATCATATCGTTTTTAGGTAATTCCATTAAGGGTTGTCTCGAATCTAAAAATGTCAACTCTTTTGTTGGACGTACAACTTCCAACAGTGGATATTCCCAAAATATATCTAAACTAGCATTTGATTCCAAAATAAATTTCCAAATTTTATCTAGCCAAATTTTATTGGGAATGGCAGTTGATTTAGGATTCCAATTTGTTATTTTTTTCCCAAATGGAATTTCAAACTTTAATAGTAATCCAAGAGATGCAGCATCAAATCTCCTTATACTGGTTTTTCGTTGAAATTCAATATCTTCAAAAATTTCTTTTAATTTATGATTTTTACGATATTTATCGTTAACAAAATTAGATAAATTTGCCTTTGGTACCAAATTACGTTCTTCTGTTGTAGCAATATATCTGAATTGTTTACCAAATGTTCCGCAACTCTTATCAGCAAGTGGAATTAAATTTATATCATATAAATCTTCATAGTCATTATCTTCTAAAATAAATAGTAACAATTTAATCAATTGGTCATAGTTAAACTTGAGTGAAAGATCAATGTTCCGGAGGTTTTCTCTAACAAGTTTTGCGGGGATCGGAGCCCATTTAACACCAACATTTTTTAAATCATCCAACATTTTGGATGATAAATGAACACTTTTCACATCACTATATTCAGAAAGTATTTTGATAATAAACTCTTCGCTGTCAAAGAACGACTCTTGCAAAGAGACATATGACCCATTTCCATTAGCTGATCGAAAGAGAGGCTTATCTATTGGAAGATTTTTGAGAACTTTCCTCCCAAATTCAATGACGTAAGCGGAAACTTTGCTATGTGGTAAAGGCCAGAAATATTCCAATATCTGCTTGTGATTGATGTCATTTTTGATTAAATAATCTACAACATCCACTAAAAAGTTGGCATATATCTTTGGCAAAACTTCTAATAGCAAATTCCTATTCCATGATAACTTCGATTTATCCATTTCAGCCAATGAATCATCATCTAAAAGGATGGTGGATCTATCTGATGATACTGCCCAATCGCCATTAAGGTGTACTGGTAGATGTGTCACTTGAGGTAAAGGTAAATAACAATATAACCGTCCATCCAATGCTTTTTCAGTTGAACGTGAAGGAAGTGAAGCAGCAACACCTCCTCGTAATAACATTCTATGATATTTTGCTAATCTAGATAGTTCTGCAGACTCAACAGAAATTCCTCCAATGCACACTTGCCATAACTTGGAACTTTTCTTAGTCCCATCTTGAAATTCTATATTTAAACAAAATGAAGTAAATTCTTCGTTTGTATGATGCCTTTTTTCCTGAACTTCGGTAGGATTATTAGTCATATCGATTTTCCATAAAGATACAGTTTGATCGGGTTGTAAAGTTTTGGCTAATTTTCTAACTTCAAAATATTGAATATTTCGAAAAAATATCAATTCAGAATTTGCATTTAATTTCAATTTCTCCAAAAAGCTTAAAATATCTGAAGTATTAAATATTTCATTACAAATTTCGCTTTGACAGACACGAAGTGGAAGTCTAAATAATGTTCCTTTATATTCTTTGTCAAATCTACAGCCTTCTATCCCAATATATGGCGCTAATTGATCATTGAACAACTCTCTAAAATTTTCATTTTTAAGAAAATTAATTTGTATACCAAGCTTCTTTGGAAGAAATTTTTCATGTGGATCTAAAAATGAGATGTATTCACCGCTGACAAAACTAGGAACATCAGTAAAATGAAAGCATGAATTAAATCCAATTCCAAATTTTCCAATCTTTGTAGAATCATCACGCTTTCCACCCTCATGAATATTAAGTAGAGAATTAAAATCATGTTCATTAAACATTGCATCATTATATATCCAAATTGCTGGACCTTGCCAGATTGCCATTCCTTTAGTTAATAAAGATTCATTTTGATTAAATGAACGCTCGTCAACTGTAACACTTTGAAAAGTTGGAGATTATTATAAATGTTTATTACTAAAATAAAATAAACTATATTAATCTAGTTACCGAAAATTTTTGGCTCCTGCATCATCAGCATTTTGTAAGAATTCACCTGAAATACAAATTTTATAAAAAGAATAAATAATTTACATATAAAGTGTTCTGCTCGACTGAGACAATTTGTTTCAGCTTGCTAATACGGCTTACTTCATATAAAGTAATCGTAACCAACTTTAAACCATACTTACGAAATACTGATTCATAAGGATAATCCTGCAAGATACAAAGGATATAAATTCAAGTTTAATATAATAAAGTCAAGTTCTTATGCTATGCGGAAACTTAAATTTCTTAGGCTCAGTAACTGCATAGTAAAAATGTAGCTACGATTATTACTACATCGTTACTATGCAGTTAATGCGCCTTAAAAAATTTTAGTTTCTGTAAAGTAATTACCTTGATAATGCTTTTAATTAGATTAATTAATCTAGAGCTTTGTCCATATTCCTTTACTCTGTCGGATTGTAAAAAATCACTCCTTTCTTGAAACATTTATGATGAATCTTGAATATATATAAAGATAATTTTTGTTGCTTTTATAAATTTCATCACTGTGATCAGCATGGGTGTGCAGTAATTATTGTTCGGAGCGTAGCGGAGGACATTAATGATAATAATAAGGGTGATAAAAAGTTACGGTATTAATGTATTAGAAGTTGCGTTTTTGATTAATATTAATTGTTATCTTATAATTTTTAATCAATTTGAAAATTTATGTCTGTCCGCACTCGTGACTATAGTGTAACAAAACAAATATACGCATTAGGTATCGCAGCGTAGCAGTATGTTATCAAAATATATTAATTTGGTTAGTGCAGTTACAGGGGCGACCGTCCTCGTTATACAAATTACGAAAATCTCCGATCAGGTGATAACCAATCAAAAGCGTGAATTTT